CGGCTTTTTTCCCCGATTATCAGTCGGCACCCGGGAAGAAGACACGTAGTGTGCTGGATCGCGAAAAAAAAATGGACAACCCCTCTGCATACTTCTACAGAGGACGTTTGGACGATAGCAGCTTCACGATTCGGCACTATGCGGGGGACGTCAAGTACTGCATTAATGGTTTTGTGGAGAAAAACAATGACTACGTGAAAGATTCGTGTGCGCAGACGATGCACGACACCACTTCATGGGTTCTTCGAGGAATCATAGGAACGAAAGATGAAATGGTTGGACTTATGAGCGATACGTACTCTCCCGGTTCACCCACGTCACCTTTGCGTGGTTCGCGCCGCACCGTTGTCTCAAACTTTCGTCACTCACTCCGTCTACTGATGGAAATGTTGACCAGCAGTGTGTGTAACTGGGTGCGCTGCATACGCCCTCATTCGAGGAGACAAGCAGGGCTTTTTGACGGGAAATTGGTACTGGAGCAGCTTGTTGCCACCGGAGTTCTCAGTACGTTGAAACAGCGTCAGACAAACTACCCTTTCCGTCTGAAATGCAAGGAATTTGTACACAATTATCATATCCTTCTTCAGTCAAGAAAATCGCTTGGGACAAAAATGACACTTAAAGCCAAATGCTTGGCTTTACTACGGGCAGCCGGTATCAGAGAAAAGTTAGCTCAATTGGGAACTTCTCGTGTGTTTCTTTCAACGGATGCACATCGCATTTTGGAATCCAGGCGGGTACAAATTGCGAAGACCATGGTGACAGTTGTTGAACGGTACGTGGCTGCTTTTGTCTCCCGCGCGTATGTCCGCCTGATGCTTGTTTCGTGCCACACCCTTAAATTGCAACGCATCTTTCGTGTGCATATGCGCATACGCCGATGTGTTTCTCAGTACTACGGGGAACTACGCCGCAAAAGATACGAACGTTTTTTGGAGTTAACAAAGTCGTTTTTGCGTGCTGAGACGAACTCCCGTGTGGAGTTGATTAAAGAGCGGGAGTCCGATGTAAGAACGTTGTGGAGCGAGTTTCGTACCCGTCTTGTCCCTTTGGTGGAGGGTGTGCTACGAAACGTGAAGGCGGTAGAGGCAAAGCAGCGGGAGTGTCTTATTTCTCAGGCTTTTTCATGCTACGTTGCGTTCCGGGACGCGTTTGTGCGGGAGGTCGCCGTGGCTTTGGAACGGGAAAAACAACGTATAGCCATCAAGCGTGAGAGGGATGCCAGCGAGCGTTCGGAACTGCTGTGCACCGCTCTTGTGGCGCTGCAGGCCGTGGCTGCGGAAGAAGCGTCTACCTTTCAACAGTTACACGATAACGTCATTGCTCCAATGGTGAAAAGGCTGAAGGCCAAGGCACGTGCCATTCGCAGAGCAAAACGGTGGAGAGATAGGCGTTTGCAGGAGCTATACGATGCGCGGGCATCCGAAGTGCGACGTCTTGCCGTGGTGGAGGCTGAAGAACTGCGCCGGGAGGAAGAAAGATGGCGACGCCTTGTGGGGGAAGAGGAGTACTTGAACGAAATGCGGTACTTTTGCTCCTTTTCAGATGACACGCATGGAGCATCACCGCTCTTTCGTGCCTTTCTACGCGACGGTGTTCCCTCTGAGGTTCTTCACACGCCAATTGACACCAGTCCCCGGAAATCGTCGTCCATTGGGGGTGTAACTTCCTTTCGGGACTACAGAAACTACATGAGAGATGAGTTTCACCGCGCTCGTATCAACGGGACGACGCCCAATTATCGACCACACAAGCACCGCGAGGAAGTTTCTTGTGAGCTTTGCAACTTTTTGTTGTATCCATCGCGGAATAACGTTGCCACAAGACCCTCCGTTGAATCTCTCATGGAGGATACGACACGTCGTCGACTTGACGATGAATACGACGACAGTGACGACAGCTTTGATGAGCTTCATTACGAAAGGAAGGTCAGCGAATTGTGAAGACACGTCTTGGATGGATAAGACGAGACTTATCGTATTTTTTTGTTTGATTGTTTGTTTGCTTTTATATCTATATCTTTGTGTGTGGGGAGAAGAAGCAAGCGCCTTTCTGCAATTGTCGCGTTGTGTGTGATGTGGTCTTCCGTCTATTTTCCGCCATCGCGTTATATTTACTTATGGGTGCCTATTACTGTTTATCGATATAATGAGCTGCCGCTCTCACACAGCCATTGATTGCTCTCTCTCTTTCTCTCTCGCACACTTGAATCCTTTCGTGGCGGATTGTAAATGCATGCACGTGCAAAAAAAAAAAAAAAAGGAACTCTGGTGGGAAATGCTGCAGGGCGGGCATTTTTTTTTTATCTCCAGTAGTGGCTGGCGGCTTCTGGAGATAATGGCGGTGGAAGCGCAGCTCACCCCGCTTGCTGTGCTGAGCGGCGCTCCGTGATTCACGTGGCCATTGGTGTTGAGTGTTAGAGGGGTGATGTGTCTCGTTTTTTACCTGATGGGAATGATTTACTTCCAGCGACGCCTGGTCTCTGGGATTCCTCTGATGTACTTTTCCTTAGGAGGATGGCGCAGCATCCCCAACAATTTTTATTTCCCATCATCCCTTGTTTTGTTTTTGTTGTCCTCCGAGAAGCAGCTCCCGTTGCCCTCGACGGCGTCGGATGCACATAAATGCGCCAGCGCAAGAAACTGCTCGGTGGTTGTGTCATTAAGGGCGGTGAGAGAGAGATTGGCCACGAGATAACCAAAGGAATAGCGCTTCTGAAGTGCGATTTGGCCTTATTTTATGTCTCACTTCCAGCAACAGCGATGACCATTGAGCGGATAAAAAAAAATTTTGGGGGGATAAATTTTTTGGCTCTCATTGCGGTAACACGTACCCTCATGCCTCATGGTGTCACAACTGCGTGCCCCAGCAATGTGCGGCTGGTCCGGGCGCTGGTCGAATGTCGTCAGCCCTACACCAACAACCGCGACCCCATGAGGTAAACATTGCTGGCTCCTGGCTTCCCCCGAGAATACCGGGCAATTAGCCCTGGCGTCACGATGAGGAAGCCGGAATTGTAAAGGACTTCTTTTTTCTTCTGGCCAGCAACAACTAGACTGAATTACATATTTGTTTTTCTCTTTTTCTTTCTTTTTTTTTCTTTTAAGCACGCATTATTCGGGTATATATTTTTGGCCATGACAGGCACCATTAACGCTGCTGTTCTAACGTACCTCAAGGAGCATTACCCCGACGTTGCTCACGTTTTTGAACAGGAAGCATACATCTCCAAGTCGCCCCTCCTCCCAAATGCTACGACGGTAGAAACACTCATTGCTTCCCAACAACGTGGAGTAAAACATCGACTTGACTATCCGTCATCAGATGGTGAAAAACCTTCCAGAAAGCAGTGCAGAACGGAACTCAATGCAGCCGTTCCGGACAGTTCCTCCGACGATGATGATGCGCCCGTGCGGAAGCCAGCACAAAAGGCCAAGGCGTCGCCCGCAATGAGGCCAGCACCGAAGAAGGCCGCCGTTCCGGACAGCTCCTCCGACGATGATGATGCGCCCGTGCAGAAGCCAGCACAAAAGGCCAGGGCGTCACCCGCAATGAGGCCAGCACCGAAGAAGGCCGCCGTTCCGGACAGCTCCTCCGATGATGATGATGCGCCCGTGCGGAAGCCAGCACAAAAGGCCAAGGCGTCACCCGCAATGAGGCCAGCACCGAAGAAGACCGCCGTTCCGGACAGTTCCTCCGACGATGATGATGCGCCCGTGCGGAAGCCAGCACAAAAGGCCAAGGCGTCGCCCGCAATGAGGCCAGCACCGAAGAAGGCCGCCGTTCCGGACAGCTCCTCCGACGATGATGATGCGCCCGTGCGGAAGCCAGCACAAAAGGCCAAGGCGTCACCCGCAATGAGGCCAGCACCGAAGAAGGCCGCCGTTCCGGAAAGCTCCTCCGACGATGATGATGCGCCCGTGCGGAAGCCAGCACAAAAGGCCAAGGCGTCACCCGCAATGAGGCCAGCACCGAAGAAGGCCGCCGTTCCGGACAGCTCCTCCGACGATGATGATGCGCCCGTGCAGAAGCCAGCACAAAAGGCCAAGGCGTCACCCGCAATGAGGCCAGCACCGAAGAAGGCCGCCGTTCCGGAAAGCTCCTCCGACGATGATGATGCGCCCGTGCGGAAGCCAGCACAAAAGGCCAAGGCGTCACCCGCAATGAGGCCAGCACCGAAGAAGACACCGAGGTCGGAATGTTGTGGTGAAGAGGAACCCGTAAAAAAGAGTGTTCGGACAGAAATCGTGTCAGCTGGGCCAGGGGGTAAGGAGTGGGAGGATAATAACGTTAACAGCACTCGAAAAAGTAATGGCAATGAAGGAACTGCATTACGTCGTTTTCAACGTATTGACCCCACAAAGGTTGTGTTTGTTAAAGATGAATTAAGAAATAACCGACCAGGTGGCGAGCACATGGCGTTTCGGCAAAATCAAGAGATGATGCGGGTAAAGGGTAAGAATTTTAACAAGTTGAAACAGAAAAATAAGGCTAAGTTTTATGCTGCTGGGGTGGACACTAATGTTAGGTCATTTCAGTTTGATGATAGCGATTAGACCAAACGTGTATGTGGGATGATATGTTTTTGAAGAGAATTCTTGTTTGTTCGTGTGCTCCTAATAATGTTTTGTGTGTGTGTGTGTGTGTGTGTGTGTGTGTAAGGTGTATTAGTTATACTGACTATTGAGTTTATTTCTTGTAACCGCTTAAACAATAATATATATATATATATGCCTGTATTCATTTGTTTTAGCGAGGAACCAAGACGGTATAGGCGCAACCTTGGTTCCTGCTTTGGATTTTATTTTTTTTGTGTGTGTGCTGGAATGGTTTTTATTTATTTTATTATTATTGCTTTTTTTTTTTTTTTTTTTTTTTTTTTTTGCATGTGTCACTTGCCTCTTTTCTTGTTGTGAAGTGGGAAATTTTCTATAAGGCTAAAAGGCAAGAATGCCGCTGTTCTCTGCCTCTGCATCCGGTAATGGGAATAACACTGGTGGTGCTGAAGAGAAGCCATTAAATTTGCCCTTTGATCCGCCACCGCTCCTCCGCGTGGATCCTGTCGCGGTTCTGGTGGGCCACGAAGACCGCGTTTGGTGTGTTTCCTGGTGCCCCACAGCGAATGTATTGGCCTCAAGTTCTGCCGATAAAACAGTAAAGCTATGGAGCTGTTTGCACCACGCAAAAGCTGTTGATGAACAACACCAGCAGTATCCGCAGAAGGGTCTTTCGTGGGAGTGCATTCACACATTGGCGGGTGAACACAGTCGAACGGTTCGTCATATTTCATGGAGTCCCAGCGGTGAGTACATCGCTTGTGCTTCATTTGATCGCACAGCAACCGTTTGGAAACGGGCATCGGATGATTTGAACCGATTTGACTTTGAATTGGAGGCCATCCTTGATGGACACGAAAGTGAAGTAAAGTGTGTGGCGTGGCTAACAGACAGCACATTAGCGACGTGTTCGCGCGATCGAACTGTTTGGGTGTGGGACCGAGTGGATGTCGGTGAATTTGAGTGCGCTGGCGTTCTTGCAGGACATGCCCAAGACGTGAAGGCATGTGCCTGGATACCTCCTATCGATGGAGGTGCGAAGCCACTTCTGCTTTCATGTTCTTACGACAATACTGTGAAGGTTTGGGCTGAGTCTCATCGTCGAGATGACTGGCACTGCTTTCAGACATTAACGCGGCACGATGAAACGGTCTGGTCTGTTGCTGTGCAGCCTGTCGAGCAGTCCATTGAGACCCTACGTGCGGAGGAGGAGGAAGAGGGAGGGGAGGCACAACCTGCATGCCAGCCCATCATCTGTTGTTGTTCGGACGATAAGAGCGTGACCTTTTGGAAGCGCAACGCTGAAGGAAAGTTTCACGTGATTGTTACGGCCACTGGCTTTGCAGAGCGTTCCATCTACACGGTTGGTTGGGCCCCTAGCAACTGCGGTGCCATCGTGGCGTGCGGCAGTGGTGACAATAAAATTACACTTCTGGGCCTTTACCAGTCACGTGGGTACAACGAGGTGCACGTTACTGTACTCGCGGAGCTGCCGTCTGCTCATGAGGCGGATGTGAACAGTGTCGCATTCTGTTCAATTGTCAAGGGGGCTCTGGATGATAACAAGGAGGTCGTCAACGACAACAACAACAACAGCAGCAGCAGCAGCAGCGGTCTGTTACTGGCTTCCGGTGGGGACGACAACATGGTTCGTGTCTGGCGCGTGGCGAGGGCTTAGAGGCGTGAGGGTAGAAGTGGTATGAGGGAAAAAAAAAAAAAAAAAGAGGTGAGGCGAAGGCTTTCGCGGGCTGCAAATGTATTTTTTTTTTTTTAATTTTTGCGTCCATTCTTTTTCATTAACACCAAAAAAAAAAAAAAAAGGCGACGACGGATGAAACGTGTGATGTTCAATTGTTTATTTTGGCTTCACATTTCTCTTTTTATTTTTGTTTTCTCTCTCTCTCTCGCTCTATATATATATATATATCTTCTTTTTTGTTTTTGTTCTTTTCTTTGGGTTTTGTTTTGGCTTTTAAAGATACGTGAAGTAAATATTTATATATTTTTTCCTTTTATTATTATTATTATTAGCTGTTTTGCCGCTGCCGCAAGCATCGCAGGCAATCACCGCCAAGCATAAAAAAAAGCATACATTTATATTTACACGCCTGTCCACCAGACACAAGAAGTGAAGGACGGAAAGAAGAGAAAAAAAAAAAAAAAGAAAAAGAAAAAAAAAAAGATGCTCATTGCACCACTTTCAGACTGCACGGCTGGCGTTATTCAGGAGGCCAACAAGGCCAATAACGTGGCCTGCAGTGAATTAAGGAAAGCGATCAGGAGGAGGCACACCCACAATCCGTATCTTCAAACGATTTTAACACCAGTGGTGACAAGCTGCAATTTTAATGATAAAAAGCGGCATGAACCCAACCCCAATGCGCCTGCATTTGTTCCTGCCGAGATCCCGTGGAATAATTACGCACCGTGCGTCTATAATGAGAATTCTTGCGTGAATGAAACTGCCTACGATTACGCTGTATATGGATCCTCCTATTACTACTCCCAACGCATTTCTCCGTCATTTGCAAACACGAAGCAGACGACTTACCAACTGCCTGCAGTGCCCACAGAAAGCATCAACACAAGCAGTGTCGCCGACAAAACCATGAACCTAAGCAATAACAGTACATCTTGCGGAAACACAGGGACCTCGGTTGTCTCGACACCCGTCAAGCGAAGCAACAATCTCTACAAGATGTACGTTGATGGTCGTCCCAAGGTTGTTCGCGGCGTCATGTACGCTGAGGTAAAGGTAAAATTGCGTTTGGGAAGCGAGGTATTCATTGTGAACGATGTGCCACAGGTCTTTGGTCTCATTGTGAATCCGGAGGAGCTCGTGGGCCGCTACGTCATTGTGGAAGGGGATCGTGGAGAGGATATGGGCATCATTTCCGCCATTGAGCGCTCCGAGCAGGAGCCCGTGAAGCAGGTGGAAAAGGCGGAAGAGGGTGACAACAGTCATCCACGCGTTCTTCGTGAGGCCCTTGCAGAAGAAGTTGAGTCCTTTCATGGCCTGGACAGACTGGAGGAAGAGGCGCTTCGCTTCTGCAAAGCAGCAATTAATTCTCTCAAAATACGTACTCCGCTGCAGGTAAAGCGTGCGGTATTTCAGTTTGACCGGAAGAAACTGACCTTCACGTACAGCAGCGACAGTTACGTGGAGTTTAAAGTGCTTCTTCGTGCCCTGAACCGCCAGTATCAGTGCCGCATCTGGATGCATCAGCTCAACTGGGAGGCGAACTGCAAGCAGAGGCGGCAGTCTTCAGACACGGAGGGAAGTCGCAAGAGTCGAAGGGACCCTCGCAAGTTTGGTGGCACGAAGAAGGACGGCAAGCGGAGTCACGAGGCGGATGAATGATGTCTCGTCTTCTCCCCCTTCCCTTCCCTTCAGACACGCGCGCACACGGACACATTAGACGGGAGGGAGCGACGGTGGTTGAACGGCAACAAGTGACAAAATGAAACAAACAAAAAAGAAAAAAAATAAATAAAGATTAAAGATTTTAAAATAACCCTCTTTTTTTCTTTTTCTTTTTTCTTTTTTTTTTTTTTTTTGTCAAATGGGAGGGGATATTTTTCCGACGTCATCACAATCACACCTCCTGTTCTCCCTTCCCCTCCTTTTCCCCCTCCTTTCTCGCCCTTCCTCTTTTGTGTATGTGTGTATGTATGTTCCATCTTTTTTTGTTTTTTGTTTTTCTTCTCACAAAAGCACAAACACACACGAGCGCCCACTGCGGAAGTGACGTATATACATATATATATAATATACATGTGCATGTACATGTGTATGTATATTTGTGGTATCCAGCACTTTCATTTGTTGTGGTGTTTTATGCATGTATTTTTATGCTCATCCCCTTTTGTGATGGTGTTCCGCCTGCCGTCGTAGCGGACGTGCGCTGTGGACTGTTCAATCACAAAAAACCATAGAAACTCCTTCCGAATTTATTTTCTTTTATTATTATTATTTTGTTGTTGTTTTTTGTTTTTTGTTTTTACCCCCTTTTTTTCTTTCTTTCACCTGTTGTTTTGTTTTGTTTTGTTTTTTCCGTCATTGCCATTTCACTATTTTGTACTTCTTTCTTTCCTTTTTTTCTTTTTTTTTTTTGTTTGTTTGTTTGTTTTTCTCATTGTTTTGTTTTACTTTGGATGGGGAAGTCAAAGAAGGAGAGAAGAGAAGGGAGATGAAAGGGGAATTGGCTTCAAAAAAAAAAAAAATTTTTGAGATGAATGACATCCGCCACTCAACGACTTTTTTTGCCATTTTTGTTTTGTTGTGTTTTTTGTATTTTTCCTGTTTTTTTTTTTTTGTGTGTTTGTGTGCTGGGGGTGGGAGGGGAAGGAGGAATGGGGATGCGGGGGGGGAGGTGTTCACGCGTCAATTAATTAATTGATTGGTTGGGTGGGTGGTGGCTGCAGAGCGTCTATGATTGCGATTCCAACATCATTTTTTTTTTTTTGTATTTTTGTATTTTTATGTTGTACGGATTTCTCTTCTCTTCTCTTCTCTTCTCTTCTCTCTGTGTTTATTTGTATTTATTTGTCTGCGTTTTTTTTATTATTTATTTAACCCTTTATTTCCCACTCCTCTATCCATCCGTTTACTGGGCAGCCATTGCCGTCTTCTTCTGCCCTGTTTGACTGCCTCCCTCTCCCTCTCTCTCTCTCTCTCTCTCTGTGTGTGTGTGTGTGCGCTCAACGCAGGATTACAATGAAGTCAACGAAGAAGAAATTACAATTATATAAATTATGCTTCTAATGGATGTACACATGTGTAATATTTATGCATTTAGTCACAATCGGGAAGGAGAAGAAACGACAACAACAACAAGAAAGAAAGAAGAAAAAAAAAAGAAAAAAAAAGGAGGGGAAAAGGAAGAAGGAAGAGGAGAAAAGAAGAAAAAAAAATTCATAATAATGATTCGTTACAGGAGCCACGTGTATAAATGACATGTCCGTATCTGTAATTTATAATTATGGGAATTTATTATTTTTGTACACTGAGATTTATGCTACGAAAAAATAAAAATAAAAAAAAGGAATGCTGACGAAAAAGGAGGAGGTGGAGGAGGAGGAGAAGAAGTCATTATAGACACATAGACGGTGATAACGGTGTGTGGCCGGAGAGCGATGTAAATTGAAGTGAGTTTGTTTGTTTGTTTGTTTTTTTGCTTTTCTTCCAAATGTATTCATTGAGAAGCGGAATGAAGTAACGGGGAATAACTCAGGAGAACGCAGGGAACATAACGTGTAGGGGAAGCACATGAGGCGTAGCGGAGGCATCGACCGATTCTTTAACTGTTTGTTTGTTTGTGTGTGTGTTTGACGAACAAATAATAAAAGGAAACGAAAAAGGGTGGGGAAAACTGAAAAAAAGAAAAAAAAAGATTCAAAAGGTCGCCAGAAGAAAGGGAAGCGTGTTTTTTTTGTTGTATTTTTGTTTATTGCCACTGCCTGCAGCTGCGTGTCGTGTTCGATCGACTCTCATCCAACCGCCGGCGGTACGGCAGAAGAGACAAGCGAGCGATTTGCCCGCGTGCGAGGGGAGGAGGGGGAGGGGGAGAGAAGGGGGCGCGACGGGCAAACAAAAACAAAAATATATTATTTTTTTTTTTTTTTTTTTTTTTTACAGCCATCGCGAGGAGCAGCCGGGAAAAAAAGGGGAGTTTGGTGGTGGTGGTGGGGAGTTGACATGAGGAGCCTCCATACATTGCAGAGTGTGCTGGGAAAACAGGGAGGCGCGTAATTCCTCACGTCTTTATTATTATTTTATTATTTTTCCCCTTTTATTCTTGAAGGCCCGGGGTTATTATTTATTTATTTATTTACTTTTGGAAGCTATTTGCCATGGCTTTATTTACACGGACATGTATGCGTCGTATCTATTTATATCTATTTATTTATTTGTGTGTGTGTGTGTGTGGGAGGATGCGTGGTTATGCATTTATATCCTTTTTTTGTGTGGCGTATTGCTGGACCATGCGGATGAAGAGAAGGGGCCGGGGAAAATTTTGGGTTGTGTTTCTCATTTTTATTTATTTATTTTTTTTTTTTTTTTTTTTTTTTTTCGTGTGTGTGTGTGTGTTTTCTTCTTCAGCTGCCTTTTCTCTCTTTTGTTATTATTATTATTATTGGTGGTGGTGGTGGTGGTGTTTTC